ACTATTTCTCAAAAGTTACTAACCATACAGAGCTTTAAGAACACCATCTGTGATTATGTCTGGTAAACATAAACGTTTTTCTTGTCGGTTTCTTGATGGRATATGTTCACTTATCATATGAAACACCGGACGCTGATATTTGACATCTATTTTATGGCTAAACATTAAAATGTTATGTGTTTAACTACAGTAAGAATGTTGGTACCTAATTAGATATTTAAGTTCTTAGAATATAGGCAACAAAGCTAAAAAGTATACCTTGGTTGATACTCTAGTCCAAGGAATTCCATGACCTGTTTATATCCACCTTCGATTTTGAAAACTGTCTGTAGATACCTCTCCAAACCAGCCCTTCTTTGTTCAAGAACTTTTGGCTGTGAGCATCGTATGCGTTTTGATGGAAATGGTGGTGTGGATATAGATTTCCTAAGCTGTAAAAAAAAAAAAACCACTCAATGTAGTGACTATATGATGACGGGCAGTGTCGGGTAGCATGTATACCTCTCTGTGAAATGCATGAAAAGCACTGTACCGTCTTTCCACACACTCCTGGATGCCAGCTGACAGCACTTTRATTGTGTACACATAGTGCGGCTTAACGTCGTGCACCAGCCCGTACTTAGGAATGGTGATTTCTGTCATGTTTACGTGGCCATGATTTGCCGAATGCACGTGTAACTCTAACTGACACACGACGGCTAGCGTTGTAGACCAACTCTGCTACTCGAGCCGGTCTRGTTCGTCACTGACCGAAACTGCAGACCAAGTTGGTGCGACACATTACAATAACGATCTAAAAACTTGGTACCTAAATAAAATGTACTATAATATTATTTATTCAAAATAAATAATAAAATGTAATGGATACCTTACCTCTCTAATAATTTAACATTGATAAATTACACAAAATAAACGAATGTTCGTGAATACTGAATCAATGAATCACGAGTCGAGACTCCATCAACTTTCAAAAGTATTGGTATTAGTCATTAGGTACGATTATTTCGTATTTGGTATTTCTATTGTTATTATTATTATTATTTATATTTTATTATGATTCAGATAATACTATTATTATTATTATTATCACAGTCCACAGAATAATTATTTTCTGATAATAATAATAGCCCACTATTATCACGGTATGTGTTTTTTTAGATCATGTGATATAAGGTTTTTTATTCAGAGCACACAATATACCCATATTCATATCACAAAATAAATTATAAAAGTAATAAAATATAAATTTTTTTTCTTTTGGATAATATTGTAATATAGTAATATGTGTCTATTTAGTATTTTTTTATATAATGTTAATTATAGTGTGAATTGTGGATAATACCAAAAAATTGAATTTATTATGCAAAACTGAAAACAATAAACGATATTGTATTATGTTAAACATTTAAGATATCGGTAATTTAATTAATATACTCAGTATTTAGTATATTACACATACATTAATGGTATACTTTTATTATAGCTACTAATGCAGTAGTAATGCTACTATCACAAATCACAATATTGATTTTTATTATTATTRAATTGGCGCAATTCAGTATGTTTTAATTTTTAGTCTATTCTGTAATTGTATTTTTGCCATACACAAACATATTTCTCAAAGTGGGCACTCAAGTTAGCATTGAATGTTTATTTTACTGTAGTATTAATAAAAATATTGCAATTTTAAATTATTTTCATATTTGCCTTCTATAATAAGTGATAACACTATGTATATATTAGTATTACAACAATATTATTTTTTTCCAATTTGACAGTAAATTAATGYATTCAATATTTTCCATATTGTACATACATATTATAAATCAACCGTAGGTGTTCGTTTTTTACTATACTAATGAAATGTTTGAATGATTAATGATTTTAGTTATTAAAAAGTCAATATTCTGACTTGTGCGCCAGAACGATGCCCGAGAATTACAGCTGTGATCATTGTGAGAAAACATTCACAAACCGTCGACACTATGATCTGCACGTTGATGGTCATTTGCGCAACATCTGTCGTGTATGCGGATCATCTTGCAACAGCCGCAAGATGTTGGTTACCCACATGTCTACTGTCCATGGATCCAAATTGGAACCAATTGTGTTGAATTGTAAGTACTGTATGAAAACGTTTGTTCAAAAACGTTCATTGCACTTGCATTACAAGACCGTGCACAAAAACACGGGCACTATATGTCTTGATTGCGGACAGCCATTTGACAGCAAACAAGAACTTGCTGATCATATAAAAACAGTTAAGCACGGCGATGGTTTCATATGCCATAAGTGTGGAGAAGTATTCACCCGAAACCAACAATATAAATTGCATTTACAAGTAAGATTTTCCATCTCTGAACATTTTTATGTTGTTGAATTTAATTAATTATTATACCACAACCATTTATAGAGGCACGATGCATACTGTTGTTTCAATTGCAATGCTCAATTTGCAAATTCTAAGAAATTGAACAAACATTTGAAATCATGTGTTTCAATACCACCGGTCGATAACTGTTCAAAAAATAAACAATCAACTACAGGTATACCTAAAATTTACTTTTTCTAATAATGTTTTTATATATCTTACTGAAGTATCTACTTACTGAACAATAATGTTAATAAAATTTTATTGAAGCTTAAGCAACAAATTATGTTCTGTATTCTTTTTTTGCATATTTCTTGATTGTGTTATTTRTTCATAATGATTGAAAATTTAAAGTCATACCCAGATAAAAATTTATAATTCGATCATATATTTCAAAATAATAATAGCACACTGTTTTGTTTTCTCTCTTTCACCCATGAACAACATGGCAAATTTAAATTCTACAGAAGTAATCCTAGCTTTATTATTAGTGAGTTGACCTATTATCAAACTCAAAGTTAAGATTATATTCTTTAGTTTATATAATCTGTGTTTGTCAATAGCCTTTTACTTACAAAATTTCATTTTTAATGTAAGTCATTAAAAATGATCATACATCACAGAAAAACTGAAATATCATAATACAGCCAATTTACTAATATAGATTATATTATTGACTTTAAATTTAATGATAGGTCAGAATTTTGGAATTTAATCTCATAAGTACTTAACAATACAACATACAAGATTGATTTTACTGAGAGCATTTCTGTAATGTTGCTCATGGGTTAAAAATAAGAAAATAATGTGCTACCATCCAATTAACAAATGTATTTTATTTATACAAAGGTCTATTTGATATATGTTTTATCATGTTTTTAATTGGTTCTAAATATTCAAAACTTACTWAACTTAATTATTTTAATTTTAAATTAATTTGTCTAATTTAATTTATTTAATTTAAGGTGTTGTATATGAATGCATTGAGTGCAAAAAGTCATTTGAGAAAAAAAAGTATTATAAGCGGCATATGAAAACAGTAATTCATTCAGGTAATAAAGTCGATAATCCATTTTATTGTGCTCATTGTCCAAAGATATTTTATTATAAATTTAATTTATCATCACACATGAAACAAGTACATTTTAGACAACACAATAATTATATTTGTAATTTGTGTGGACGGAGTTTTCAGTATGGAAACAATTATAAAAGGCACAAAGATTCTCATATGCAAGTTAGAAACTATGTTTGTGAACATTGTGGTGCATGTTTTTATCGAAAACATGCATTACAAGATCATCAAATTGCTATACATAATGAAGAAAAAAATTTTGTTTGCAATGTATGTGGTGATAATTTTAAATTAAAATCAATATTAATAAGACATATGGAAAATCATTCTGAGACCAAAAAATATGTGTGCCATTGTAAGCGTATGTTCAAATTTGCATCCAATTTACGACGTCACCAAGTTAATATCCATAATCAAGTGTATACTGAAACTATTAAAGTAAAACGCTTTGTGGAAGATAATAGCCGTTCATCTCCAATGGCAGTCATGAATGAAGAAAAAGAAACACAAAGATTGAAACAAAAAAATATCAACCACCCTCGACTAGAAGATACTGTATCATATTCATTGATGGCGTATTCTGATAACTTAGATTTAAGTAGTGTTGACATAGCAGAGAGTGTTCTTCAAGTAGCCTCAGCATCAAATTACAAGATAGAATGTGAAGAAAATTCATGTTTTCCTGGAATTCATCCTCCTATTGAAACATCTCTAGTATGCAGCTTAAATGATGGTGTGGATTTGTCTCCTAATTCTTCACAGCAATATCTATCTGATTATGTTGTTMCACATCAGTTTCCATTTCTGAATATTTGAAGTATTCCAATGTCACAAAATTGTATTTTGTGATGTTTATTAATGATAAAACAAATTATTTATAATGCAAAAATATTATTTTACAAGGTATCACCAATATTAGGGTGTTAAACTTAGATTTACTTTCTAGGCTACTTGATGTCTTAWGCATAATATATTGCAAATTTGATTTGACATGAAAGATATTTTTATTTACATGTAATAAAATAAAATAGAACCTTTAAATAACAAACCTTTTTCGGACCAATGTCAACATTTTCAAATCAAAGATTTATAATAATTTCATATGCCAATAATATGTTCATAACAATAACTACTTATAAAAATGTTTAATATTAGCATATATTATTTGGTTAGTTTTAATATTTTAATGAAATATTAAGTATATTTTTAATTCCTCTGTTTTGATTAGAAGTAGCCATTTTAGATACCAATGAGTATCTTTTCATGTCTTGTGCTGTGATTAGTCCAAATCTAAAACCATGGTTCAAATATTATTCATGAAAACCATATTATTATCTTATCATAATTGATGCTTGATTTGATTACTGTCTTAATTTAAATTTAAAGTAAATTATTAATAACTAATAAATTAATTTAACCTAATCTAACCGCAGATAAAACAATTATGGTTGTAAAAATTATTTTTTCCTCTACAATGTATTCTAATATATTTGAATGTTATAATAGTTTTTTAAAGTATTAATTCTTACCTTTAAAAAAAATATTTTTAATATTTACAATAATGATAATGATTTTCCTTGATTTTATGGAAATATTTTAAAATTTAAAATTTCGTATCAACAACTTAAATTTTAGAATTATTAAATTATGTGTGTTGGTGCTAATTTCAATTTTTTTGGAAGAAAAGTAGCATTTGTTTTGTATTTAAAATAAATGCTAAAAAGTGATTTAAAAGTATTTGAAATATTTTATTCTGAATACTATTTTTATGAAGTATTTGAGAATACACRTTCCTAATACTACTTTTCATAAGTATTCGAGTATTTATAACCTTACTTTTGTCTCAGTTTAGTAATAGCAGAATATGCTATTCAATCTAATGAAGTGATATCAAAAAAAGGAAATGTATTTATAGTTTAGTATATTTAAGGCAGTAAATTAATTCATTTGAAAACGAAAAACAAATTAATTTTAACTTGGATTTGTTCTTTAAGTTACAAAGATTTATTAAACAACTGATTATGCTGTAATAGATGATAATATTCAAAAAATAATTTGGTTTTGAAATAATTGTAGTCTATYCTATGATTGATTAATTAAATATGTATGTATTATGTTAGTATTATGTTAGTATCTAAAAATTTAAATTTAGGTTGTTATTAAGGTTATAATAATATGTTGATTATGATTTACGACTATACAGAATAATATATTTCTATATTATAGTTTTTATGATTTATATTTTATGCTTTTAAGTTATAATAGTGATATAAAAAACAATGTTTGATTCAAATGGTTAAGTAATATAATATGTTATATAATATGTTCATCAATATTTGGACCAATCACAGTATAGGACATAAAAATATAGGTGTGTCAAATGTGGAAATAGCCATTAGCCACTTCTGTTTTAATTTGATCAAATTCGTTTTGAAAAATAAATTTTATAGTTTTATGTTTTGCATTGGAATGCACCATTTATTTTTTCAAAATATCATCCTTAAATGTGATTTATAAGCTCTCAAAATTTCGTAGGTAGGTAATTGATAACTCAATTGTTTATAACATTTTTTTTTTCTATTCAAGAGCTAAGTATGAAACAATATATCTTTGTATGTTGTTAAATTTTTATTTATATATAATGTTACAATATTATATACTTAATGACCATGGTCGTTTGAGTTATTATTCAAATCTTCACTGTCAAATTTATAACATGATCTCATAAAAATAAATTTAATTTCTGGTGTTCATACMCTATTAAAACCCATAAACTTATGACATTTATTGTTCTATAATGTTTTATTATAATATTTCATAAATATATTGGGTATTAAAAGAAAAAAAATAGCAAAAGAAAAGTACCATCTGTAAAATCCACCTTGCTTTGCTGAGAAACTAAAATCTGAAATTCTGTTAAAATAAAATATTATTTTTTGAAAATAGCGTATATTAAACACATGTACAAATAAAGACTTCAAATATTGTTCAACACCTTAACAAATGTGAATTATTACTGTATTGGGTTAGACTTTAAAATAAAATGTTAGTAAATTGATAAACAAGGTTCTTTTAACATACATTTTTAAACGTATCATTTTATTTCTTATAAAAATAACTTTATTTTGTAAGATCTGTATTCTTTAGTTAAGACTAGTATCATTGATTATAGAATAGTCTATTCTAAAATCAATGCAAGTATATATTAATTATAGTTAGAGGTTTCCAATGGCGTCAACCTTATTTCTGCTGAGAGCTTGTATGCTACCTGTATATAATAATTATTATATTATTTTTAAACTATTGTATACCTATAGTTATTTAAATAGCTTATCAAAATGAGTGTGCAAAAGACTTCTATTGTTAATTTAAAATGATAAATTGTAGATATATAATTATGTATAATTTATAAATTCAATGAACAATCTATTAAACAATACTCATTTTGATAAGTGAACGATTTTAATTTTCTAACCAAAAAACAATATATGTTAAGATTAAAGTCGACAAATTTTATAAAAATTGACTTTTATCAAGGAGTTAATTGTTTTATTATGTAAGCGAAATTAAGTGAAAAAATATAATAGTTATACAAAACATATATGGTTTGTGATTGTGGATGATTGAAATTTGGTATCAACCTATACATATATAAAGTGCAAAATAAAAATTATGTTTTATAAAATATTAATAAAATTGACCTAAGTACTCCTATGGAGGCATTTATTCAAGCCATGCATCTAATTTTATAAATTCTATTGAGATCTCAATCTTTCTGATTGGACCAACCAACTGAGGACCATGTCTCTGAAATAAAACACATTATTACCATTTATAATTTAATATTTATTTAATGCGTATACATTCATTATTACATTCAATGTACTGCAATTTTTAGTATTGCTGATTATTGACGTACCTATATTATATTATATCTACTGACTGTTGTACGCTGTGATTTTTAGATATTTACACAGTTTTACATAAATCTTCAATCTCGTTAATGAAGATTAGATTTATAACTTTGTAAAACTACCCCGTTAATTCAAGTAAGATTGTAAGAAACACTAAATAGGAAATAGCAATAGTCACTACCACCAAGCCACTTACCTAGCCAGTACAAAGACACAAAGACTAACTTTATAACCGATGATTGGCGGATATTATTATTGTAGGTAGGTACCTTAGTACCTTATTATATCGCACATCCAGAAGAAGAACGACACAACTCAAAATTTGACCGATTTGAGTTGAGTTCAAAATTCTAACACTTCGTATTTTACTGATTGAATATCTAAAGTAGAATTCGTATTAGTATTATGGAATTATTGTAGGTATATAGTAAAAAACACAGAAGGAATAAACATTTATTATTTGAAAGAAGAACCAGGAACATGAAATTCACTACTGAGCAAGATCGTAAGTAGGTAACTAATACGATATTACCTATAGGTATCATTATAAAATAATATTATTTATATTAGTAGCATTACAGACATGTGCCTTTACCAGTATTTCAGGTAATGAAATGTTTTTAATCCAAAACTATTCGTAAATTTTCAAAAGTAAATATAAAATTTTTTTATTATAAAGAACCAGGCCTCGACTGCATAGGTTATTGGCCCGCATTAGGTGACTTATTAACTGATTAATTCATTATGGGCCTACAGTTTTTTTTCTCTGAGAGTGCATAAATAAAATAAGTAACAATCATAATTCATGATTAATAAATAGAATATAGAAATAAACATACATGCAAAAGAGAGAGAAGAAAAACAACAAAACAAAATAATTAATAGGTTTTTTGTTATATGGTTTTGTATAAATTGTCGTCTCCTATAAATTTAAGTCCTACGTTGTTGGTGTAAGTCGTGTGGCGTTAAGATGTTCAGGATTCAACGGCTGTGGTTACATTTGAAAAATGAAAATGTTATGCTATGGACCTTGTAAGATATTATAAAAGTGGTTGGTATCCCACTTCCTCTTCTTATGCCAGYGTCAYAATTTTACCAATGTTCCTATACCTTGTTGTTTTTCAGATTTGCGAATTTATATGGGAAGTGTTTCTACATATTGTGAGATCTAAGAAATCGTACTTTGTAGTACATTTCCAGGAATTGCAAAAACAATTATTTAGGTAAATTTGTTATAAACTTATAAACAGTATTTTATTACCTATAGAATTCTTGAATTTATGAAGCTGAATTATGTATCACAGATTTTTAAAACTAGAAAATATGCTAATATAGTAATATCTATATAGGCTATATAGGCCTATACAATATATGTACATACTGTMATACTGACATCTATAATATATTATTCAATCGCCAATCCTTCGGTCAACCAGTTTATTTAAATTGCACAATTTCGCTTTCATTGGTGAGATTCTATSGTAATACGTACAGCATATTCGAGTTTAAAATAATAAATTTATGAGCGTTATTATTTTGATCAGATCGTGATCAGCGACGGGGCAGTTGTCGCATTGACATTTGGGAAAAGATACCAGTTTTATAATCCCGAATTTACCTATTGTATACTACAACTTATTTATTTTTTTAGGCAATAATTCTATTCTATTTTATTCGTGTGTATTTTATGTAATTACTTTAATAATTATTACTTATTAGTAATTAAAGTATTTATGTTTTATAGATTTTAGATTTCAAGTTATTTATGCATTCTATAATAATAGTTGGTATTACTAAACTTAATAATTATTCACTAATTTTACAACTCTAAAAAACATAATTACTATGTTTACTGTTGTACACATATTGGTACAGGTACCTTAAGTACATCTAGATTTACAATTAGCCAATTAGTCGAGGGGTAGAAGACTAGAAGATCGTAACTTAACTCCCGTTTTATTTTTCAACATAATAATAGCAAACATTAAACAATATTTATTATACATCTTGATATCCTGATGATTTCTTGATTCATGWTATCCTCATTTTTCCACTGTAAAAAAAATTGTAATTCAAGTTACTCTGATTATCATAAAGATGATGCGTTATTGTTTAAATAATTTTGAGTAAAACAGAATAAATAAATAAAGGCGTCCAAGTGTGATAACGACAACGTCATCTAATACCGAAGTACCTAGGTATTTTAATTTTTCGACCTGTGCGCTATAGATTTCGATGCTATAAACAATTTTTAGCCCGTGTTAAGGTACTATCTTCAGATGAGAGCATGAGGCCACTGATATACCTACCTAGTTGCCAGATGAGTTTTTAGGACTAGTAACATAAATTTTATTTAAATCGTGTCTCGTGATTTACGGCACGCATAATAGAAATTTCTAGAGAAAACGATACGGTCTGATGCAAAATGTGTAAGACTGGTACACCAAAGGCACCCGAATAAGTTTTTTAAGGGGGCCCATAATGATATCCGAAGTTTTCGAAAAATGCACATGAAATTTTGTTGAAACAATATTTTGTCCAACAAAATAATTAAAAATTTTATTATTCGTTTAAATATCTATAATTTCGTCGTAATTCAATATTAGAATAAACTACTTCTAACTTCTGAGGACTCTTGTATTAAAATATGAAAATTGATTTTTGTCTAAAACATATTATTAACTAATAATAAACAACCACTATAATAGCATGYATACCTATGTATCATACAAGTATTAGGTATTATTGTTGTTAACTCCTTAATTAATACAGATTTCCGTAAAATGGTGCGAATAGGTTTATAACCTAACGTTGATTGGAGTGTTTTGTTAATTTAATTGTATGTTATAAAATATAATAACGTTTCAAGTGTCCGCAAATAATATTTTTAATGATAACTAAATAATTATGGACRGGTCGTTAGTTTTCATGTGCTTGTTAAAATGTTCTGAACTACGTTATAGTAATGATGGTAAAAAAATGTTCAGCATTTATTTAGAGTATGAATTTTGTTAAAACTACCTATACGAATATACGATACATTCTATTAAATAGGTTAAAATAAAATATATCTTTGGACGAGTTCAAGCACCCCTCGTGGCTAGGGTATACTAGCTGACTCCAAGGGGAGTATACGGACCATTATTCGAAAAACGATATTCTATTTACCAAGAGTAACCCTGTATGCGCAACTGTGTCGTGTGCCTTTWATCGTACCATTTTGATTGCCCATTGTATAATCATAGTATCATTAACTAGCAGTGATCTAAACCGGTAAATTTCCTGATTTGAGYCGATGCCAACTACTATTAGAGACGACGGACGACGTACTTAGAGCAGTGAACTCGACGTCCTAACTAAGGGTTATCGATATCCCGACCGTTTTTACTTTTTTCATGAAATTCAATATAGGTAATTTTCTATGTGTATTTGGGTCAGGTATAAAATGTGGCGTAGAATGTGATCGTTATTGTGTATGATTGTAGGTAAAAGAAAATATGGTGAAGCGCTTCCACACGTGCGCACGCACGTCATCGTCATGTCAATAACGTACTACCTACACGATTATTAATTATTTTGTTTATTTTTTGGTCAAARGTATGAACTTTTATACGATAAAATATCTGAAAACATATTTGAATTCATGGAATTTCTTGAAAACAACTTCCTTGCATTTTAAATTAATTTTTACACTTCTACATTATTCACCATTTAAAAACTATTTTAATTTTGAAGAATTAAATTTAAAAAAAGTGGAAAATTTGTTTTCAGGTTAACACCACGGATAATTCAAATATGTTTTCAGAAGATCTGATGACTAAAGGACAGTCGATTAAGTCGGCATAAAATTGGGTTATTTTGGTAGAAAATGAAGACAATCGAATCCACTTATCGAGTTCTAAAAATGATATGCATTGTATATTATACAATAGCATCGCTATACCGGATTACTCAACTGCGAGATTTAAACGAGATTCGAGAGGAAAAATTTCTAAAAATAATGTCCATAAATACGGAACCAACACCTCGTGTGGATCAACCTGCGAGCTTACAGCGGATACCCTAGGTAAATATTTATCGCCCCCCTCGCTAAACATAAGATATCGAAAATCGCCCAATGTAGTATAGGTACCCAYATAGATGGACCTTTTATTCATAATATATTATAATAGTTGTTGTTGTAACATCGTACCAGGGTTGGATACACGCGGTTATCTATGTTAATATTGCCGATGACGATTGCGGCGACGACGACTGCGACCGCGACAAGCAACGACTACGACGGCGGATCGATTTTTTCGGTTTTCGACGGTCGGACGGTGACGGCGGCGCTGGCGTGTGTGTGGATGTGTGATGGCGCGCGTACGGTCTACGGCGGACAACGGCGGCGGCGTCGGTGGCCTAGACCGAGACGCCGCCACGGCCGCCTGAGCCCGAGTGGTAGTTCGTAGTCGACACCAGTCGTAGTACCGGTGTGCACGCGACCACACGCACCCAAACGCGCGTCGGGGCCGGCCGTGATAGGGATTCGCGCGCACTGATCACCGACAAAGACCCGGGGCCGCGTCCGGATCCGTTATTATTGTTTATTTTTTTTTTTACATTTCAATTACTTCCGGTTAGTAATTATTACTCTGATTTACGACGACCGTTTTACGTCAGCTGCACGATCGTTTATGGTCCGCGTGAAACGAGCCGGTCGACGGAGCTCGTTCTAATAAATGACATCGAACATCGTACAACCCGACGGACGCGATGAGAACGTCTCAGTCGATGGTAAATATTCAATTTATTACCTATTATTAAAATTTATCATTACATCGTTAGGTATACATTTACATAGGTATACCTAGTACTTACCATCTATACTGCACCGAAGAGGTGCAATTGTGTAAACGAATAACCTATACGCAAAAATAATATAAGCAGTTCGTTTTACCTAATGTACACAATTAATTTTGTAATTCTTTGCTTAGAATTTTATATTTTATATGCTTCATGTAAAATTGTTTGATGATCATTAGTTTATACATATATTAGGTTTTTTATACTTAAAATTTTTCTATTTCGCTGTAGGTACTGACCATTATATTCCTTCAAAAGGTGTTTATCAGAGACAAATGTTAAATGTAAATCTTCTCTTATTATTTAATGGAACGAATATAACATTCATTTCTGTGAATAAAAACTAACAAATAACTACATTTTTCCAATAACGAATATTATGTTTGACAATGATATTATATTGCACTATTTTTGAGGTAAACTATGAAAACAATTGAAAAATGTTATCAGAATCAGATCACAGATTTCTTTCAAAAAAGTAAAACCTTATAATTTTTTTAATAATACCTTTTTGCAATGACAAAAATTGTAAAGAAATGTTTTTGAGAAGTCAAAAGTTTTCAAGATAATAATTGTGGATCAYTTATTAGTATAATTTGGAACTCTAACTTCTAGACWTTAATACCTACCAACGCGTTTGTCACTTACAACATATACCATACGTCCATACCTAACCTAATAGGTACCTACGTATTTGGTATTCTTTTTGTAATTTTTATCAATCAAAAAGCTTTTCATATTATTTTCTCTATAACAGCTCTTCTCGATATTTTTTTATATCATGAGGCGTACGTGAAGTGAGTTCTTGCTTTATGTATTTGATAAAAGCGCCGATGTCCAAGTCAATCTGAAATATATTCAATCGCAAGAAGTTTGACGATTGTCGTTCGTTGTAGGATAATACAGTCGAAAAAAACATAAATATCGCGACCCATAGCGTGAAATACACGCTACTCTAAAGTAGGAATTTAGGTAGATACGAGGTTAAATATATAAAATATTTTAAACTAACAAATGACAAGAAACAATAATAATTTAAAAAAAAATTAATATCTACATAGACGTATTTTGAAAGCAATTTGTCCAGCATCTCTGTAACTTAAACGAGCCAGTGTTAAATAAACTTGAATGGCTTAAATGTTAACGGCGCGGCGTCAGAGTTTCAATTAAAATTGAGATCTAAAATGTACTAGGTATAACAAGTTTTAATTTACATAATAAGAATTAATCTTGTTAGATAATATATTGAATCTATATTACATTTTATTCTGATTCAAAGAATACCCTAATTAACACATATATTTTAACTCATAAAATAAACAATATACTAATTAGTAATTAGTTGGTTCCTAATTACTTTGTGACTTGTTTCCCCAACATTGAGTGAAATAATTGTAGCGATAAAAAACTTAAGTACCGTCGCCTKTCTATGTATACAATTTATTAAACCGGTCACTTCTTGTATACAAATAAGTTATTACCTGGTGGGTATTAAGGTGGTAATTTAAAAAATAATGATTTTTCGGTTGTAACTTTTATGGTGAACAAAAAATGTCAAATTTATTTTATAAGTATTCGTTTGTATGTTAACGTATTTAAATGACACAAATCAAGTAGGGATACAAACTTGAAATTGTATTTGTATAGCCATGCACACGGTCTGGGTTCCCGACATAACGATTGTGGTCAGGCTGCTTTTGAGGATTTTTATTTCTAGCCATGATAAAAAAAAAAATCAGAAACCTCATTAAATCACAATAAATCCGATGTATCTTTGGTACCTGCATAGTCTTACGATTTATTATTGTTATTTTCAATTTGGACAATTAGTTTGTGTGAGTACACAATATTTGTTTTGTTAAATATTTTGATCGAGCTTATTAGAAAAAAATATCAATCTCTAAATTATATGGCGATTACAAAAACATATTTAAACAATGGTTGTATCAAGTTTTTATTTCCTATATTTTATTTTATTGTGTTAACAACTTTACTTGTAAAAAAAAATACACTTAGATTAACTAATATTATGATGTCATATTTTATTATTTATTTATTCATCTTTGTAATTTACTGTATA